TGGGGCATAGTGTATATAGATTTGAGAGAGAAGGCTGGATATGTGGATGGTCTACTTTTTATTGTTTATTTTTCCTTACTTGGTTTATGTGATGATATCCCTGATAGCGTCTGGATGTATTGACGTGGGCATTTATTCGTGAACCTTGGAGAAGAAAAAGATGTAGTCATGATAACGTGCATGAATGCCCTCGGATGCCAGTCCCGATGGCTGGTGTAACAGTGGAAAAGATACCCGACATGGATGAAGGCAAACGACCTGTCTCATCCACCTCGTATCGACAACTCTCTACTACCTACAGGACTGAAGTGTGTACTCCGTAATCTTAAGCTATCGTGGTTAGCAGAGTACAGAGAATTCTGATTCTGTGATGGTACGTAGATAGGGACCTGAGCTTTGACGGTCGGTCAATAAGCTGCCCACCCATCTTAGGAGACCAGTGACAGTGACAGTGACAGTGACCCGCCAATCTGAGATCGGTAGAAGAAATGAAGACTGTAACAATAGACTTCCTAGAGCACAGCTAGAAGAAGAATCTTCCCAGGTCTTCCGTGGGGGTTCTAGATCGTGTACCCATGGATTTTCCTTTCTGATAGTGAGACAGGGCTTGTGGAGTGTGGGCTGTGAGACAGGGGATGACGGTCCATACGCTATTGATTTCCATGGCTTTCAGGATTCTACTACGGCTGCTGTGGGTTTGATTTGGGCTGGTGTGGTTGGTACGGAGTACCACTGTACCAGAGACTAATTTTTACATTTTAATGAAGACAGCGAGGAGGTAAATTTAGCAATCAATGATAAGTAACTATCTATCAAGTCTATCTACTCGGTACCAGACTGTGGATGGATATTAGACCGCAAGGACCGATTTGGGATGGTCAGTCCGCCACGGACAGGGAGCCAAACTGCCAAGAGGTTGAGACAGGGACTGCGATTGAGTGGGAGGACGGGAGCGATCTGATCACCGGCTGGACTTTCTGCTCTCTTGAAGAGATAGGACGAGAGAGTGTGTTACTGCTACCTTTCTTAGGATGTGTGTCTCAATGTACCCTATAGTTGTGATATGGTGTATATGCGTGGTGTCTGCTCCAGTAATGTTAACATAGGTATGGAGTAGATACTCCTGGATAAGGTGACGAGGTCTGTGGGGCAAATGATTGCGATGGGTTGTGAACCCTGAAAAAGGGGGAGCTTAATACCTGGCTGAGGTCTAGAATACTACAGAGTTCAGCCGGTTTCAATGTCGCTGCAATTGTCAGTTGTGAGGGGTCGGATGACTTGAGCTTGTCGCATACTTGGTGATGGTTGACAATTGACAAGTCGAGTTTTCTGCTTGCAGAGATACCTTAGGCAGAAAAAATGCTTCAGAATAATCGGGAGACCAAGAAAGAAAGATAGCGGTGTATCCGCAGAGTACAGGACCGTCCGAAATACAGTACCGTACCATACGTTGCTGTACCAACGCCCCTGACACTCGGATATTGCAGCTTGTACAACCAATCAAAAGACAGAATTGGTCCATTCCTGTCTCCTGTACTGGGAAACGGACACAATCCGTACAGTGTCTTACTGTACCCCCACTGGGAGGGGAAAAAGGAACACCATCGTCATCGTCCCGCATAGCTAATAAATAATAGTAGCAATAATAATAGCACGGTAACAAGAGCTGCGACCAAGTTGGCAGCAAGCTTGACCGTTCTTCGATAGGTAGAGGCATTTATATTAGTTAACCAGCATCCCTCTTCTCATCTCTTCTCTTGTTTCTCTCTTCTCTGTCAACTACCATCTCCCCACCTACTCTACTGTTACCGTCCCTCAACAGCGAAAAAATGTATGTGCTCCCCCTGTCGTTCCCAAGGTACCTTAGGAGTACCTCTACCCCTCCCAAGTATTACCTGCTTGCTGTATTGCCAATGACGGCAGCTTGTCGACATCCTGCTGCCCCTCTGTCGATCGATCGACACTCTCCCGTGGCAACTTTGTCTGGATTCTGAACAGAAAACCCAGACCTGTTTTCCCACTTAAATCAAGCTTCGTGTCCTCTCTCGCTTTCTTTTCCCGCCCTTTTGACCGTCTACTTTCCCACCCAAAGACTGTCGTCACTAACTTGGCCTGCTTGAGTACTTAGTGAGCGGACTTTGACCACATCGATAAGCTCTGTTCTTCGAGTGGATATCTACGTCTTCACTTCTCTACCTCTAGAAATCGCCCGCAAAATCATCACTCATAATGGCAGCCAAAGCTTTGCCTACTCACCTCAGAGCTCCCGCCAACGAGGCCTCTAACGATGGCTCGTTCGGAAAGCACCACGCGAAGTCCCAGTCTCACATGGTAAGTTGATCATCTTGCAGTCGCATTTCCTCTGGTCGCAGAATCAGAACCTGGCACGAAAAGCTCTCCGGTGCTCTAAAATCACAATTCAGTTGGTGTTGGAAGGAGGTGCTGGACAGCTGGGCTTGCCTAGTTTCAGCCACAATCACCTACAGTGCTTAAATACCTCACCCTGTCTTTCCTTCAACTTGTGACAGTTCATGCATTGTTTACCACAACAAGCTCTCTCGTTCTGCATCCTTGCCCCTTTTATCAGCTTTGCTACAAGCATTATCCCCATCCATCAAGTTCCCTTATCATTTTCAATTTGATAGCTGCGGCGATAGTCATAGCAACATGCCTCTCTTTTTTCCTTCTGCAAACAAACTGACCCAATTTCCTCGTGCTCAGGCCTTCGAGAATGCCTCCACCAGCGTCGCTGCTTCTCAGATGCGTAATGCTCTGAACGCCCTCGCCGAGACCGTTCCTGACCCCGACGAGAAGAAGCGCTTCGAGGCCGAGATGGACAACTTCTTCGCTCTCTTCCGCAGATTCCTCAACGATAAGGCCAAGGGCAATGTCGTCAACTGGGACCGCATCAACCCTCCTGCGCCCAACCAGGTCGTCGACTACAAAGACCTGGGCGCCGAGGCGTCGGTGGAGTTCCTGAACAAGCTGGCCGTCGTCAAGCTCAACGGTGGTCTCGGTACCTCCATGGGTTGCGTTGGTCCCAAGTCCGTCATTGAAGTCCGTGAGGGCATGTCCTTCTTGGATTTGTCCGTTCGTCAGATTGAACACCTGAACCGCACCTACAACGTCAACGTGCCCTTCGTTCTGATGAACTCGTTCAACACCGACCAGGACACCCAGTCCATCATCAAGAAGTATCAGGGCCACAACGTCGACATCATCACCTTCAACCAGTCCCGCTACCCTCGTATCATCAAGGACTCTCTCCTCCCCGCCCCCAAGAGCTTTGACGCTCCTCTGCAGGACTGGTACCCTCCCGGTCACGGTGACGTTTTCGAGTCGCTGTACAACTCGGGCACTCTGGACAAGCTGCTCGACCGTGGTGTCGAGTACATCTTCCTCTCCAATGCCGACAATCTCGGTGCCGTTGTGGATCTCCGGATCTTGCAGCACATGGCGGACACCAACGCTGAGTACATCATGGAGTTGACCGACAAGACCAAGGCCGACGTCAAGGGTGGTACCATCATTGACTACGAGGGCAAGGCCCGCCTGCTCGAAATCGCCCAGGTGCCCAAGGAGCACGTCAACGAGTTCAAGTCCATCAAGAAGTTCAAGTACTTCAACACCAACAATATCTGGATGAACCTCCGCGCCATCAAGCGTGTTGTTGAGGAGAACGAGTTGGAGATGGAGATCATTGCCAACGAGAAGTCCATCCCCGCCGACAAGAAGGGCGAGGCCGACCAGGCCATCTACCAGCTGGAGACCGCCGTCGGTGCGGCCATCCGCCACTTCAAGAACGCACACGGTGTCAACGTCCCCCGTCGCCGTTTCCTGCCCGTCAAGACTTGCTCCGATCTCTTGCTGGTCAAGTCGGATCTCTACCGTCTCGAGCACGGTCAGCTCGTCATGGACCCCAACCGCTTCGGCGGTGTGCCCGTCATCAAGCTTGGATCAGACTTCAAGAAGGTGTCGGATTTCCAGAAGCGCATCCCCAGCATTCCTCGCATCGTCGAGCTGGATCACCTCACCATTACCGGTGCTGTCAACCTCGGCCGCAATGTCACCCTGAAGGGAACCGTCATTATCGTCGCTACCGAGGGCAGCACGATCGACATCCCCCCTGGCTCGGTGCTGGAGAACTGTGTGGTCCAGGGAAGCTTGAGAATCCTGGAGCACTAAATGAAACGAGTTTCATTGCTTCTCTTCTACCCTTGGTCATTTTTAATTCACCTCGCATGTCCGGTTGCCGCCATCGGGGTGAGGGGAGTTGCGTCGGGCAGCGTGGGTTAATAGAACTGTGTTAAGAAGCGGGTTGACTTCTCTGGGTATTTTGGGTGGTTCGTCGAGATGTCTGGTTGACTAAAATTGCCAGGAAAGCACGTTTGTGCCTAAGCATTACGCATGGTTTTTGTGGTGTGTGTGCAAATCCTTATTTGGCAGTGCAGCAATTCGTCAGTGTTCTTCTCTTCTTACTGTTATTTAATTGTGTCGCTTGTGAAGCCACTCCTGGTTGAATGGAGTTCCTGAGCGAGGGTGATTCATTGAGGACTATCTCTTATTGGTGTCGTCCGCTAGCTGGACATCATAATGGCAAATCAAAACACTTGCACATTTCCGTGATTAGATGTAGGCTCAATTGTAGCTGCTACCTCATCGACTTTCTTAGTGCATTCTACGTCGGCAATGTCCAACAGTTCCAAGGGGATCTCAGATGGCATAAAAGCCAATTCCACTGAGGCGTGTAGGAGACGGATCCCGAATAATGACTTCAAGCTTGGGGCGATATGGTACCCCATGGTCCTCGGGATCGAGTTCCTGGTGCTCGGTCACGTCGTTGTCCGAACGTCATGTGGAGGCGAGTGCAGGCAAATTGAGGCTGACTTGAACGTCCTATGTCGACGATCGTCGCATGACTCTAGGTGAGGCCCAGAGAACGGGTTCGTTTCTGACACTGCATCCTGCCGTCTTCTACCCTTGTCAACCCACGCCTCGACATGAATGATCCAACCTCAACGCCTCGCCAGATCGTCCCAGGCCGACTACAGACTTCGCCGACCTCGCCGACCTCGCCGACCTCGCCGACGAGTCCGTGGAAGAAACGTGTATCGACGGCATGCCTGGCCTGTAAGAAGTCAAAGCGAAAGGTTAGTAGTTCAACCCACAGTCCACCAGGCCCATACGTCTCATTTTGGCCGTCTAGACGGAACACAGCTCCACCTTCTGGACATGGACATGGCTGATGGCTGACCTGCAAACAGTGCTCGGGGGTACCCCCCTGCGACAACTGCCGCGCCTTCAACCGGGTATGCATCTTCGACGAATCGCTCGACCAGCGGCGGCGCGTCGCGCAGAAACGCACCGCCGAGGAACTGAACTACCACCGGGACATGCTCAACGATCTCTTCCGGGTGATCCGCACGGCGGACGAGCCTCACGCGCTCAAGCTGCTGGAGATCATCCGCAAGAACGCCACGGCGGAGGAGATCCGCGCGTTCATCGACGAGACGCTCATCCGGCTGGACGGGGAGGGCCAGGCGGTGCAGCAGCTCGAGGATGTGCGGCGGACGATCGACGTCGAGGGCGCGGGCCCGTCCTTCCGGCGCAAGGTCATGGATATCCATTATCTGTGTGACGAGGCGCCGTGCAAGGTGCCGGCCAAGCCGTGGACGAGCGTCACCGAAGATGCGGATCTGGTTTCGCATCTTGTCTCGTTGTATTTCACGTGGGATTATCCGTTCCATGCGTTTCTGGACCGCGATGTCTTCCTGGCGCATATGGCGAGTGGGCGGCAGGATTCGGACTTTTGTAGTTCGTTCTTGGTGAATGCGTTGTTGGCGAATGCTTGCGTAAGTGTCTTTACTTCATTTTGGGATTCCTGTGGTTGCTGACGAGAGTAGCATTTCTCCGAGTTCTCGGAGGCGTACGTTGTCCCGGGCGACTTGGTGACCAAGGGCGCGGACTTTCTATCTGAAGCGGAGCGTCTGAGGGAGGAAGAATCCCAGAAACTCAGCTTGGCGTACCTCCAGGGGACGTTGCTGTTGTATGAAAAGTGTGTGCACCTGTCTTGTTGAATGGTCCTGCTCTGCTGATGCGATAGATACTCCATTTCCGGGAACGATGACCTCGGATACATCATGCTGCACCAGGCCATCCGGGCCGGCGAGTCTCTGGGTCTCTTTGGTCCGAAGTGCTTGAAATTTGACCAGACCACGCCAGAGATGGATGTCTCTCTCAAGCGGACTGCCTGGGGGCTGTTCCAGATCGACACGTAAGTCCGAAGGTTTCGTCCTTTAAACCGGAAGAAATTCTCACATGAACAGCGTGGTGCATACTGGCTTCCTCCGGCCCAGTCTCATAGCCAAAGTCAACGTGAACCGCATCGACCGAGAGGACGACAGAGCCAGCGTGTGGACGCCGTATCCGTCTCACCGAGCTGCCCGACCGGCCTATCTCAACCAGTACTTTGACGAGTCGTGCAATCTGTGCGAGATCGCGCGCGACATTTCCCGGGTCCTGTTCGCCGACGACCAGAGCAATGCGTCGGCCGCGTATCGGCGCCAGACAAAGGACGACCTGTACGAGCGGCTGCGTCGCTGGCATAACGCCTTACCGGACGTCTTCGATCCCGGACGACGGCCACCGCCGCATATCATCCTGCTGAGGCTGCGATACTTTACCTTGGTCATCAACCTGTTCTCATGCAGTGCTTCCGAGGACGACTCCTCGAGCGTCGCGTCGGATGCGCCCAAGACCCCTGAGAGCCCGCCGCGACAGAGTCCCATCAACAAATACAACGCCTGGGAGATCACGCAGTCGGCCGCTCGGGGCATCTCGGCGCTGACACGGCTCCATCGGCGCGAGTACGGCATGAGCCGGGCGCATCACTTCGCCATGTACGCGATCAATCTGGCCCTGTTCGCCATGCTGGAGCAGGAATCCTTTGATATCCTGGACTCCGACTTTCTATCGCTCGCCAGCTCCTTCTCGATCATCGCGAGTCGGTCGTACCTCGGTCGGAGCCTGTTCCATCTGTTCCGACAGTCGGTCCGGGCCAAGTCGCAGGGGCGCCGGATTCGCCAGTCGAGTGCGGTGTCGGACGAGCTCAAGGATCTGTTTGATGAGGAGACCCCGATGAAGGAGCAGACGCGCTGGGATGAGTATGCCGAGGGGCTACAGAAGCTGAACGAGGACGAGCGATACCATGGGCCTGGGGAGGGGGAACAGGGGCTACAGGACTATCCGGGACTGGGACTCTTCGATATGCTGGATCGCTACGAGAGCCTGAGTTTAGGAAAGGATGAGATTGTCCCTGAACGACGTAAGCCGAGTGAGTGTTGATGTTGATGTTGATACAATCACTACTCCGTCTGCAGTAACATGGGTGAGTGAGCCACGGGCAGCATCAGGAGAAAAACAGAGGAAATCATTTATATTGGGCAACCGACGACGATCACAAAAAGCAACCAGAATGGCCGACTAATTGGATGCATTTACCAACGGTACAAGGGTACCACAGAGCGAGTCGGGAGTGAGTTTTGTAGTAAAGAGGACATGCACGGAGCGCGCCCTTGACGTCACACCTTTATCTTTCTGTGGATGACCCACCAACGAACTCCCAAGTCACAGCACCGTGGCGAAGACTGTTCTTATGAGTTCATCCCATCCTCTAGCTGTCTGGAAGCTGTGCTCCTCAGCTTGGGTTGTTCGACATCCTGACCAGGATATATTTTGGATTACTTGGAAAAGACTCGCTGCTTACCTCGACAAGCCTTGACAAGACGCGACACTATCCGCATGGATTGTCCGAAACAACGAACCTCTCTGGTGCGAATGAATCCCTAGCTTAGCGCTTATTCTTCGATGTATCTGCCATGGAAGACTTTTCCGAGATCTACCCTTCCGTCGAACTGAATCCTACCCAGAGTAACGGAGTCAGCTTTGAACCCGACCAGCCCGCTCCGAATGGTCTCTCATCCGCTGTGTACTGGCAAGGGCTGCCTGTAAGCCCCGGCACACCACAATCTGGCTACTATCTATATCCCAATCAATACGAAAGGCCACCTCCTCATCCGCATCAGTCCTCCAACTCTTCGTCGGGAAGGGACGGTCCTGGTGCGGGTGTGGCCAAGGTAGCGATCCCCCGAGCTGCGCCGTACAGCATCCACTCGCAGCGTCGCCGGTCGGCGCGAGCCTGCGAGCCTTGCCGACAGCGCAAGATCAAGTGTGACGGCAACAAGCCTGTCTGTCGACAGTGCCACGAGCACAATGTCACCTGTTCCTATCTGGATGTGAAGCGGGTGCGGGATCAGAAGCAGTTGGAGGTTTTGTCCCGCCGAGTCAAAGTGTATGAGAGTTTACTGCGGGACTTGGAGGCGGAGGTGGACGCGAACTCTGCGCGACGCATTAGGAGGACTCTAAAGACACCCAACGGCGACAACGACAATGACGGCGCGCTATCGGACAGTTCCAGCTCGTCGGTCGGGTCGCTCAACGCCATCGATCTGGTCGAAGAGGATCTGAACCGAAGCCACAAGACGCGAGCGACAGGGTACTTTGGGAAAAACTCCGAGGTGACCTGGATGCAGAAGCTGGAGGACGAAGCCGAGAACCGCAATCGCATGTTCGACGGTAACTTCGAGACTCTGGGTCTGGACGAGCAAGAACAGCCGCAGCAAAAGAACGATGTCCCCATCGCGACGATGAGCTACCACCTCGATGATCTGAACATCCCCCTCATGGACGATGTCGACCCGTATGAGTTGCCGCCGAAGGAAGTCGCGGACCGGTTCTTCGCGGCGTACATGGAGTCGGTCCATCCGGCGTTCGAGGTGATCCGGAAGACTATTTTTGCGACCCAGTACCGGCAGTTCTTCAGTCAGCCGTCCAAGCCGCCGAGACGATGGCTGGCGATATTGAACATGATCTTTGCCTTGGGTTGCCGATATTGTGTCTTGTTGAACGATGCAATCGGCGTCGGAAGCGATGAGGACTGGGACGACCTCGTCTACTTTAACCGCGCGCGGAAACTGTGCCTGGGCGAGACCGCGCTGTTTGAACATACAGATCTACAGCAGATCCAGGTGGAGATACTGGTGGCCCTCTATCTGCTAACCTTGGGCCAAATCAACCGTGCCTCCAACTTTGCCAGCATGGCCTTCCGCTCCGCGCTGTCGCTCGGAATCAACCTGCGGTTTGAGGACGACCGGACGCATCACGCGTCCAAGGAAGCCCGCAGCCGGCTGTGGTGGTCCATCTACGTGATCGAGCATCTCCTGACGGCCACGACGGGGCGCGCCTCGTGCGTCAGCGAAGGTCTCAGCGCGGCGCCGCTCCCCATCCCCTTTGAAGAAGAAAACTTTGACAAGCCGCACGTCCTCCGCCTCTTCCAGAACCCATCGCCCCGGGCCAGTCATCTCAAGCTCACCATCTTTGAGACAGACGAAGAAGCCCAGTCGAAAGCGCAGTGGCTTGCCAGCTGCGAACCCAGCCCCTCGCTCTTCTTTCATTGTTTGGTCGACCTCTGCACCATCACCCAGGCCGTTATCAACAAAATCTACAGCATCCAAGGCCTCCGCGACACAGCCTCTCAACTCGAACAGCGCGTGCGCAAATACTCGGCGAACCTGGACACCTGGCTCGCCCAGTTACCTCCGGTCTACCGCTTCACCTCGCAACCGCACCCACACGACACCCTACACCTCCCCGACGATGCCTTCATGCGCGAACGCGTCTGCCTCGCAATCGCCTACTACAGTGCGCGGATAACGATCAGCCGACCCTGTCTGACCCATGCGCACCCCAAGTCCTCGAAGGATCCTTCCTCGAAGGAACCCTCGTCCCCTGCCTCCCCTTCCCCCTCCCCAGACGCAGCCCTCAACCCCAACCCCAAATCAACCACCCGCTCAACCTCCACCATCACCACCACCACCATCAACGAGCCCAACAGCGGCCCCAGCAACAGCAGCGGCACCACCAGCGGCACCATAAGCGGCACAACAAGTGGCAACACCACTGGCAGCAACCGCCGCACAAACCTCTCCGCCTCCTGCCTCCGCTCCGCCTGCACCCTCATCTCCATCCTCCCCGAAACCCCCGATCCAGCCTGGCTCCTCCGCTTCTCCCCCTGGTGGAGCATCCTCCACTACATAATGCAAGCAACCACCGCCCTTTTACTGGGGTTATCATCCTCCGCACCCCTCCCCTCCACCCCCGTCCCCAACGCCGCACCCTTCGGCCCCGCCCCCGACACCGCGGCCGTCATCCGCTGCACCAAGAAATCCCTCCGCTGGCTGCATGCCATGGGGTCCGTCAATGCCGCGAGTCGGAGGGCGTTCGTCCTCTGCGATAGTTTTATGCGGCGCATTGCGCCCAGTATGGGGGTTGAGGTGGGTGATTTGCCGGATGTGGCAGGGTTGCCTGCTTCGACGCCGACCGTTGCGAATTCGAGTTCGAGTTACATGCCGGGTGGGAATGGGAATGGGAATGGTAATGGCAACGGTAACGGCAATGGAAATGGAGGAGAGGCGTCGGATGGGGCTTGGTGTTGATCCTATTACATATTGGATATGCTTTTGTTCCTGTTAAGTCTGTTACTCGCGTAAACGTAGGAAGCATTCGATGGAACGAAACGGGTCGAGGGTGATATCAGAGGTATATTACTAGCCACTAACCTAGCTACTAACAAATTGAATTACATGACTGAAACTGGAGCCTGGGAAAACGTATGAATAGATGCATGCCGTTTAGACAATCCATAATGGGTAGAATATCATCACGAAAGAAGACATGGAACAGACAGGTAGTCGAGGAAGGGCAGCGAAGACGAACTAACAACAGCGACAATAAAAAAAGGCCGGACCGAAGAAAATGATATCGAAACGTGAAACGGGCTGAAACTGAAGGAACAAATTACATCTGCTGAGGCATATGGGGCGACATGTGCGGGGGCATCTGTGGGTGCATCTGTGGATGCAGCTGCGGCGTCATCTGCGCCAGCTGATGAGGTATGAGGTAGGCGCGCTTGCGCGGGTCGTTCGCGTCCATGGGCGGCCCGCGCTTCTGGGGCGGGTTTAACATCATGGGATCGGACGGTTGGTGTTGTTGGTGGGGATGCTGTTGCTGGTGACCATGCTGATGCGGGTTCGCGAGTGCATGCGCGTGAGCGTGCAGGTGCGGAGACGCTTGATGCTGGAGATGCTGAGGCTGAGGCTGAGGTGACGGCTGGACATGGTGCTGAGGCTGGACGGGAATCTGAGTTTGAGCCGGGGCCTGCGTCTGCGGTTGTGGTTGCGGCAGGGCCTGAGCTTGAACCTGCGCCTGAACCTGTACCTGTCCCTGCCCCTGCCCCTGCCCTTGCCCCTGTTCTTGGCCTTGCGCCTCTGCTTCGGCTTTGGCTTGAGCTTCGGCTTCGGCTCGCTTCCGTGCTTCCACATCGGCCTTGCGAGGACGACCGCGTGGCCGGCCAGTGCCGCCCGGTTTCGTGGTGGATGGCTTGCGCGGTGTTTTGGGTTTGGGGGCTGTGCCTGGGGCTGTCTCTGATTTACGGGGACGTCCGCGGCCTCGTTTCACAGGGACGGCAGGGACAGTACCATCGGGGCCAGGAACGGGGACGGGACCCGGAGCGGTAGCTGCGCCAGGGGCAGCGTTGGGACCGGGACCGGGAACGGCTGTGCCGGCCGGAGCACCGCCGGCGGCGGCAGTGGCGGGAGCACCCGCAGCGGCGGAAGCGGATTTCTTAGGCTTAGGCTTTGGAGGCTGTGTTCCATCGGGCAAGGGATTCTTCCGTGGACGGCCGCGCTTCCGGGGTGTAGGAGCAGGTTGTTGTGAAGCACCTGGAGCAGCTGGGTCCGCCACGCCCGCTGGACCGGCCGGACCTTGCTGTTGACTCTGGGCCTGCCCTTGGGCCTGCGATTGACCTTGGCTTTGACCTTGACCCTGGTTCTTGCCTTGGACAGCTGTGGGGTTCTGCAACTGATTATGCACCTGAGCTTGTGGTTGAAACTGGGGCTGAGGCTGGACTTGAGGATAGCGTTGAGCCTGCGCCTGCACCTGAGCGTGAGCCTGAGTATGAGACTGAGTATAGGCCTGAGTCTGCGGATGATGCGGATGTTGAGGCACGAACTGAATTGGTGATGGAACCTCGGGACGATAGGTGGGTTGTGTTGGTTGCGTCGTCCCGTTGATCTTGCCTGTAGTGGCCGCAGGAGATGCAGAAGCGGCAGCAGCAGCGGCAGCGGCCTTGGACTGCCTAGCACGCTTCTTCGTCGGTTTCGTTTCCTCCTTTTTAGGTTCTTGAGCTGCAGACTTTGCTCCCCCGCTCAAGGTAGCCGGTGGTATTGATGGCGTCGCTTGCTTTTGCTGTGGCTGCTGATGGAACTGGTGCGCCTGCTGCGCTTGAGCTTGCTGCGTATGCTGCTGTGCCTGCTGGGCGTACAGATTTGGCTGCTGAGACTGCCTCTGATGTTGCTGGGCTTGCTGCTGAGCCTGGCGATGCTGCTGCAAAGCTTGCTGCATTGCTTGTTCGTGCGGTTGTTGAGGCTGCTGCGTTTGTGTCACTTCCTGGCGGTTGTGCTGCTGAGGCTGCTGCTGGACATGCTGTGCCGGCTGTGTTGGCTGTACCTGTGTCTGTTGTGCTTGCTGTGCATGCGCCTGTTGGGCCTGTTGGGCCTGTTGAGCCTGCTGGTACCGCTGATACGGATACTGTTGGAACTGATGCTGCTGCGGTTGCTGCGCCTGATACCGTGACTGCTGAGCTTGCTGTTGTTGTTGATAAGTCTGTTGAGCTTGCTGCTGCTGATAAGTCTGCTGCGTCTGCTGATATGGCGATGCCTGCGCCTGTTGCTGTTGAAACGGAGACGACTGATGCTGTTGGTACGGAGACGGTTGCGCGTGGGCCTGTTGATACGGGGTCTGCTGTGAGGTTTGCGGATACTGTGGTTGCTGCTGCTGTTGCGCTTGCGGGTATTGGTGCTGAGTTTGCTGAGGTTGAGTAGTCGCAAGCATGGGCGACGCAGCAGCAGGCGAAGTCACAGACGGATGTGTATGAGATGTCTGTCGATGCTGCAGATGGGGATGTTGTTGCAACCTCTCGTAAGACTGCTGCGGAGACGAAATACTCATTGCTTGAGCATGTGGCGACATGGCGGCCTGAGGGTTCAGGGCCGGGTGCGCACGAAAGTTTGCCATGGGATTCATGTTCCTCTGCAGACTCTGTATCTGCGAGAGGTACGGGTCTTTCAATTGACCGACGGAGTCGGTATGCCTAGACAAAGGATCCGACGTACCCTGAGGCGCATAATGACCGTAGGTGCCATAGCCACCTCCCGCGGTAAACCCAACCATCGACCCCGACGACGAGGGAGTCATCTTCCTCAGATCAGGCGAATTACTCGCCAGATCTGACTGCTGCTGGCCCCGGAGCAGGGAACTGTTGGCAGCAATGCCATTGCTGCCATGGGCTGAATGCGCAGCAGCCCCGCTCAGCGAAGGCGATTGCAGATGGTGCTGCTGTTGGGGTTGGGGATTTTGCTGTGATTGACGCTGCTGATGATACTGATGGCCCCCGTATCCCATCATCTTGCTTGAATTTTACTTTGGAATCCCTGACGAGGAGTCCACTGTATCGAGATGAGCCAAGGACGCTGTCTCAGCAGGACATGTGACCACCGCGTCTCGAACCAATGATAACAATGACGCGGGTTGGTGATGGTGATCACAGGGGAATCAACCACAGATAATTAATCAGGATGGATTCACAGATAGAATCTCAGTAAGTGATGGTATGTCAAGAAGAAACAATTGGGTTCAATAAAAACAAAGTAGGTGGTGGTTATGTTCTGCCAACTCTTGTCTGGTCTGATTATGGCTGTGTGAATGGTTGTGGCCTCAGGCCGTCACTACGGCAGGCGGGTTCGAGCCAGTGGCGCAGTGGTCAGGCAAGTTGAGAGAAATAATAATACACGAGAAAGGGCTGTCAGGATGAATAACCCAGCACAGCAAGAGCACAAGGGGGTATTGGGGCAAGAAAGGAAGCAGAAAAATAACAACAATGAGGAGCCGAAGGGAATTCTGATGAAATCAACGCTGAACAACGGCCAAGACGATGAATGTTTGGGGATCGCGAGATGGACGGTCGGCGTTGTTCTTTTTTTTATTTTTTATTTTCCATATTTTGGATTTTGGATTTTTGGGGGTCCCATCACGTGATTTCGTGTCTACTTGGCCCCTTCTCGAATCACCAGTCGTCGCGAGGATGAGTCACCCAGGATTATAAGTTATGCCTTGTCCAAGTGCAAGAGAGAGATCAATTGCTTTGAATACGGAGTAGACAGCTGTAGTTTGAAGGAAGCAGCTTGTCATGTACAAAGGTATCAGGCAGTCCGATGATGCTGGCACTACCCCATAGAGATCGAGGACTACCGAGCTAAAATAATAATGAAAATAAAGAGGAGCGAAAAAATTAAATCAATAAAATAATAAAATGTGGAAAATCGATGGATAATAATAATAATAATAATCTCGATCCAAAAAAAAAAATATCAGGCCCATTATTTCCTCCGCCAAATACTATTTTATTTCTTAGAGATTAAATTTATAATATATTATTATTTGATCGAGATCTGTTCAATAGGGATAATTGTTTTACTAGTACTCCGTATGCTTTCTATCAATCCACATGTACCCTATATAACCAGAAATAATACATATATATCAAGCAGCCTTCGCAACATCCTTATCCTCCTCTTTCAGCTTCAAATCGGCCAAACATGGCGCAAAGAACAGCTTCCCTGACACCACGCCTTTCAACGTCCCAATACTCACCACCATCCATAAAACCACCACACAAACCGAAATAATCTGCCATAAGTCAGTGACCTGCTCTCTTCAATAGACAAATGGATGGCCTACCGTTCCGAGCACTTTGAAAAACTCTGATGGCAGCTCTCGACCCATTTGACAGGTACTGGCGGCAAAGACCCCGAGCGGGAATGTGAACCCCCACCAGCCAATATTAAAAGGAAAGCTGCGACATCTAGCGATAGAAGCAGACGCGAAGAACAGCCAGACCAGGCCGAACGACCAAAGAATGAGGGCGACGAGGAACCCGAGAGTGTAGAAGGTGGGGCCGGACGAGGCTTCCAGTGTATGTGTCTGCGCGAAGATGGTTTGGGCGGATTTGCCTAGTTTCATTGCTCTGTTGGTAACATGAGAATTTGAAGTCGCGAAAAATGATGGAAAACAAAACTCACCCATAACCGCCCTGACCTAATGGCCCCAGGGGCAGGAAAACACTAACGATGACGGCCTTGGGTGGGAGCTTGTGGAGGGTCAGACGCTGGAGGTAGATTACCATGACCATCATGGCGAGGGGGACGCCAATCCCCCAGAGGACATAGCTGACAAGCACCGTCCATAAGGCATGTTGAGGGTTGGGGAGGACGTCAGCGACAATGGCGCCTGAGGAGGCTGCAACGACGCAGCTTACGATTGGGAGGAGCCAGACGGCAGTCATGCAGGAGAGTTGCGTTTCGTTTCCATGGGCCATGCT